ATTTATGTGATAGGCCTGCATTAAAAATAAATATTTACCATAAATTATAGGTATCTTATATTATTAGATACATTATTATAAAACATGTTTTAGTTAAGGAGTTGTTGATACTTCAAGTGCAAAATGATTATATAAAACCTTGATAAAAATACACTTTTAAGTACTAATCACTTACCACACGGTTTGTTTCGTCTAGCTTCATAGAAATTTGGTGTTTTCTGATTTAGATATCAAAATTATTTAAAAATAATAATAATAAAATTATCTTAATATATTTTTAAGAAATAACAACTATTCTATTTTTAAGCACCCTAGCTCTTAGGAAAAGGTTTGAGATGAGATATTGGTAATAGGAGAAGAATTGGCGTTTGAGATCGGGAGGAATTAAAGTTGGGCTGTTTGTGATAAAAATATTAAAGTTGGAGATTCTAAACTCAATTTAATATGATTTTTTTTTTCGTTAATTAGTTCCAGTTAATAGGGTGGTGGCTAAGTTTATTTTTTAAAAAAAAAAAAATCAATGGGAATTTATAATATTTAATATAAGAGTTTTATAGTTATTAGTTTAAAAATTCATTAAAAAATACTTTTCAACTGTGATGTGCGTGGCCCCACCCCTGCTCTTGACAGGAAGGTGCCTCTGCTGTCCAATGCGCGTTCGATATCCTTTTCATTTCTCTTTTTGCTTTTTCTCCACCGAAACTCCATCTTCTTTACAGTGTAAACTTACCAGTACGAGTTCTTGACCTCAAGGAACCGGAAAAAAATTCGACGTCATTGGGCTTGGCTAGATCTTGTGCCTCTTTAGCCAACACTTACCACACGGTTTGTTTCGTCTAGATTCGTGAAATACTCGTAGAAATTTGGTGTTTTCTGATTTCTAAGTAGAGTTGTACATGTTCCAGCTTGAAATTACTAATTGGTAGATTTAATTGCCAAATTTCTTGATCTTACCTTCTGTTTCATGTTTGACAACAGGAGCAGGCCTTACACGCGTGGAAAGCAATTGCTGAACCAAGCGAGCTAGTTGAGGCCAGAAGGGATCGGTACTAGTTTATCGCTTTAGGGATTTTCATGGCTTCCACCAGCGTGCAAGGGATAACCTCATCTTCATCTTATCCTCCTCCACTATATATGCATGATGTGTTCCTTAGTTTTAGAGGCAAAGACACCCGGAACAACTTTACTAGTCATCTATATTCTAATCTGGCACAGAGAGGCATCGATGTGTACATGGATGATAGGGAGCTCGAGAGAGGAAAGACCATCGAACCTGCTCTCTGGAAGGCCATCGAAGAATCAAGGTTTTCTGTCATTATATTTTCAAGAGATTACGCTTCTTCACCATGGTGCTTGGATGAACTTGTCAAGATTGTTCAGTGCATGAAAGAGATGGGGCAAACTGTTCTGCCAGTTTTTTATGATGTGGATCCCTCAGAGGTAACCGAGCGGAAACGGAAATATGAGGAAGCCTTCGGTGAGCATGAACAAAATTTCAAGGAAAACTTGGAGAAGGTCCGGAAATGGAAAGATTGTCTCTCTACGGTGGCCAATCTATCTGGCTGGGACGTCCGGAATAGGTAAATCCTCTATCTACTTATTCTCAAATCTACCCCCTGTATTGTTTCATTGATGAACAAGCATGATAGTAAAATGTGTATTTTTTTCATATGAATGTTTTTTTTAAAATTTTTTTATGATATTTTGAACTGATGTGATCAAGCATTTCTAATCTTTATATAAAACTTCTTTCTATTCTTAGGTTTTTCTTTATATTTTGAAAATAAAATAAAATATTAAACAGAAAATTTAAAATGTATAAAAAAGTTGAAAAACAAATCTAGCATGAACAAATAAAAAGTTAGCTTAAAAAATTAAAAATTGAGGAAAAGGTTTGAGATGAGATATTGGTAATAGGAGAAGAATTGGCGTTTGAGATCGGGAGGAATTAAAGTTGGGCTGTTTGTGATAAAAATATTAAAGTTGGAGATTCTAAACTCAATTTAATATGATTTTTTTTTTCGTTAATTAGTTCCAGTTAATAGGGTGGTGGCTAAGTTTATTTTTTAAAAAAAAAAAAATCAATGGGAATTTATAATATTTAATATAAGAGTTTTATAGTTATTAGTTTAAAAATTCATTAAAAAATACTTTTCAACTGTGATGTGCGTGGCCCCACCCCTGCTCTTGACAGGAAGGTGCCTCTGCTGTCCAATGCGCGTTCGATATCCTTTTCATTTCTCTTTTTTCTTTTTCTCCACCGAAACTCCATCTTCTTTACAGTGTAAACTTACCAGTACGAGTTCTTGACCTCAAGGAACCGGAAAAAAATTCGACGTCATTGGGCTTGGCTAGATCTTGTGCCTCTTTAGCCAACACTTACCACACGGTTTGTTTCGTCTAGATTCGTGAAATACTCGTAGAAATTTGGTGTTTTCTGATTTCTAAGTAGAGTTGTACATGTTCCAGCTTGAAATTACTAATTGGTAGATTTAATTGCCAAATTTCTTGATCTTACCTTCTGTTTCATGTTTGACAACAGGAGCAAGCCTTACACGCGTGGAAAGCAATTGCTGAACCAAGCGAGCTAGTTGAGGCCAGAAGGGATCGGTACTAGTTTATCGCTTTAGGGATTTTCATGGCTTCCACGAGCGTGCAAGGAATAACCTCATCTTCATCTTATCCTCCTCCACTATATATGCATGACGTGTTCCTTAGTTTTAGAGGCAAAGACACCCGGAACAACTTTACTAGTCATCTATATTCTAATCTGGCACAGAGACGCATCGATGTGTACATGGATGATAGGGAGCTCGAGAGAGGAAAGACCATAGAACCTGCTCTCTGGAAGGCCATCGAAGAATCAAGGTTTTCTGTCATTATATTTTCAAGAGATTACGCTTCTTCACCATGGTGCTTGGATGAACTTGTCAAGATTGTTCAGTGCATGAAAGAGATGGGGCAAACTGTTCTGCCAGTTTTTTATGATGTGGATCCCTCAGAGGTAGCCGAGCGCAAAGGGACATATGAGAAAGCCTTCGTTGAGCATGAACAAAATTTCAAGGAAAACTTGGAGAAGGTCCGGAAATGGAAAGATTGTCTCTCTACGGTGGCCAACCTATCTGGCTGGGACGTCCGGAATAGGTAAATCCTCTATCTACTTATTCTCAAATCTACCCCCTGTATTGTTTCATTGATGAACAAGCATGATGGTAAATGTGTATTTTTTTCATATGAATGTTTTTTTTAAAATTTTTTTACTGATGTGATCAAGCATTTCTAATCTTTATATAAAACTTCTTTCTATTCTTGGTTTTTCTTTATATTTTGAAAATAAGATAAAATATTAAACAGGAAAATTCAAATGTATAAAAATGTTGAAAAACAAATCTAGCATGAAGAAATAAAAATTTAGCTTAAAAAATTAAAAATTGTGAAGAAATGACAACAAATTCATCATAAGAAATAAAAAAAGTGACCAAAGTTTTTGAATATGTTGGTTTTAGCTTTTCAAAATAAAATAAAAGGATTTTCCATCTTTCTGAGTGGCATGTTTGGAGTAATTCTTTCCGATTTGGCACCAAATGACTTTCTTTTCTTTTCTTTAGTCTTTATCCTCGAATTCTGCACCCGACCTTCTAATATAGTAGCCCTTCAATTTGTTTTTTTCTTTTTTTCATATTTATTTTAATTTTTTCAATTGATATTTTTTAATTTGAATTATTTTTTAGAATTAAAATTTATTTTTAATTTTATACTTTTAAATTTTTTAATTTATTAAATTTAATTCTTATTCTTTTAATTACTATTTATATGAGATTATTTTTTAATGTTTTTGAGGGATTTCATCCTTCATTTTTTTTATTATATTTTTTTACTTTGACAAGTTTTTAAAATTGATATATATATATATATTAATTTTTATCTTAAGTCTTTTTATTTTTCATTATTTGTTAAATCTAGCTGCTATTTTTTTTAAAAAAAAATTTATTGAATTTTTTTTTTATATTTAGCTTTTAATATTTGGTTGATTAAAATTAGACTGTATTTTATTTTGATATGGATTCTATGGAGTTTTTACGGATTTGTGTTTCTGATAATGAATTTTACAAGTTAACTATAGTTATTTCAAGTCGATTTAGTATGTTGATGTCACGATTATATTTTTAAATAATTATATCATCTAATATATTATTATTTTAATATTTTAAAAATATTTTTCTAGCATGTATTAAATTTTTTACTTTCAAATATTATTATATTTTTTAAAGGTTAGAAAAAAATAATCCAACCCTCGTGGCCAGAAATCTAGTTAAAGAACTACCCATTAAAGTGAAGTTTTAACAAGTGGCAACTTATCATTAGAATTTTTAATTGGTTATCAATTATGGTTCAGTTTTTAAGGTATGACAGATTATAAGCTGCATGAATTTTTTCCCATGAAAAAAATTATTTCTCAAAATACTATAGGCGGGAAAAAACTTTTCAAACTAGCACGGTTTCATCAATTGCATAGGTCTCACCTACGCAACTTCACACATGCAGGTCCCTCAATTTTTATGTTTAGTTAACTTTAGTTCCATTATTACGATCATTTCATCTATTCTTTTGCACACAAAAAATATGTGAATTAAAGTTAATATTTATTTCAAATGCAATCGCTAAAAACGAGTTAATTTTTGCCTAAAATATTGTTATGTTTTTGCCCAACTTAAATAAAAACGAGTTAATATTGAAATTACTATTTAAATTGTATAAAAATTGAAAGACCAAATGAAAGATTAAATAGAGAAGAAAGACGAAGAAATGCGTTGTGAAAATTTGAGTTGTGAGAAGCATATGCTAGTTTGGGAAATTTTCTTTGGGCTATGCTAATATGGGAAAGAACCCAAAAATTAATAAAATTAAAGTTGTTTTTTTAAAAGTTAATTATGCTAAATAATTGATTTTTTTGTTAAAAAGAATTATAAAAACAACTTAGTGGTCGACAAAAAATATGATAGAATTCCTTTTGCCTTTTGGTCTGTTAAAACCAAACTTAATGGATATTTTATTGCCTAGCTTTTGTTCTTGTATGCATGCTTCTGTAGTAACTGTGTGATTCTATTGGCAATAAGATAGCTATTGCACGGATCATTCTTAGCATCAATACAATCCTAGTACCGTTTTCAGTTTATTCTTTCCTTTTCCTCTCTGTTCTCGAAGCTATCTATTATCAGGGCCCTATCTTTCTCAAAGGTTGGTGTATTAATTTCCGGCTAACAGCCATAAATTTTCGAGCTACAATATGCTAATGTTTATCTTCCCATTATCACTATCTGATTTGATTTCTGCACCCTGCATGATTAATGTTTTGCACCCTCCTATGCAGGAATGAATCGGAATCAATTAAAATAATTGCTGAATACATATCGTACAAACTAAGCGTCACTCTGCCAACAATTAGCAAAAAATTAGTTGGAATAGATTCTCGTGTAGAGGTATTAAATGGCTATATAGGTGAAGAAGTAGGCAAAACAATCTTCATAGGGATTTGCGGAATGGGTGGCATAGGTAAGACGACTGTTGCAAGGGTAGTATATGATAGGATTCGTTGGCAATTTGAAGGCAGCTGCTTCTTAGCAAGTGTCAGAGAAGTTTTTGCTAGGGAAGATGGACAACGTCGTTTGCAGGAACAACTTCTTTCTGAAATCTTAATGGAACGTGCTTCTGTATGTGATTCTTCTAGAGGGATTGAGATGATAAAGCGGAGGTTACGACTTAAAAAGATTCTTCTTATCCTTGATGATGTAGATGACAAAGAACAACTAGAATTCTTGGCTGAGGACCCTGGATGGTTTGGTCCAGGGAGCAGAATTATCATAACAAGCAGAGATACAAATGTGTTAACCGGAAATGATGATACTAAAATTTATGAGGCTGAAAAATTGAATGATGATGATGCTCTCATGTTGTTTAGCCAGAAAGCTTTCAAAAAAGACCAACCTGTTGAAGATTTCTTGGATCTATCCAAGCAAGTTGTGGGTTATGCTAATGGCCTTCCGCTGGCTCTTGAAGTTATAGGTTCGTTTTTGAATGGAAGACTTGTCGATCAATGGAAAAGTGCGATTAGTAGAATGAATGAGATTCCTCACGGAAAAATTATTGATGTGCTTCGCATTAGTTTTGATGGTCTCCATGAATCAGATAAGAAAATATTTTTAGACATTGCATGTTTCCTGATGGGGTTTAAAATTGATCGAATAACAAGGATACTTGAAAGCCGTGGATTCCATGCAGGTATTGGAATACCAGTTCTTATTGAGAAATCTCTTATAAGTGTTTCTCGGGATCAAGTCTGGATGCATAATTTATTACAGATAATGGGTAAGGAAATTGTTCGTTGTGAATCCCCTGAAGAGCCTGGAAGGCGCAGTAGATTGTGGACATACGAGGATGTCTGCCTTGCACTGATGGACAGCACAGTGAGTAGCTGATAGAGAACAGTATCCATTAGATTTCATGAAGTTTATTTTAATTTACGCTCCATCTCTACTTTGTATTTGTTTTTCACTTGTATTCCCCTTTTTGGTTGACAGGGAAAAGAAAAAATAGAAGCCATTTTCCTGGACATGCCTGGAATAAAAGAAGCACAATGGAACATGAAAGCCTTCTCTAAAATGAGCAAACTAAGATTGCTCAAAATCGACAGCGTGCAACTTTCTGAAGGACCTGAAGATCTTTCCAATAAGCTACGATTTCTTGAATGGCATTCTTACCCTTCAAAATCATTGCCAGCTGGTTTACAGGTGGATGAGCTAGTTGAACTTCACATGGCTAACAGTAGCATTGAGCAATTATGGTATGGGTGTAAGGTGAGATCACCTAATTTAAGGACCTTTGTATTTCTTTTTATAATTTTCCTATATATTTATGATAGTAGCATCCTTATTTCTTCTCCCCTGCCCGATTGCAGAGTGCAGTTAATTTGAAAATCATCAATCTCAGCAACTCACTAAACCTGATCAAGACTCCAGATTTTACTGGAATTCCGAATCTCGAGAACCTAATTCTTGAAGGTTGTACAAGTTTGTCTGAGGTCCATCCATCACTTGCACGTCACAAAAAGCTTCAACATGTGAATCTTGTGCATTGCCAAAGTATTAGGATTCTCCCGAGCAACCTTGAAATGGAATCACTTAAAGTTTTCACTCTTGATGGCTGCTCAAAACTTGAGAGGTTTCCAGATATAGTGGGAAACATGAACTGTTTGATGAAGCTTCGTTTGGACGGGACTGGTATTGCTGAACTATCTTCGTCAATTCGTCTTTTGATTGGCTTAGGTCTATTGAGCATGACCAACTGCAAGAACCTTGAAAGCATTCCGAGTAGCATAGGTTGCTTGAAATCCCTTAAAAAACTTGATCTGTCTTGCTGTTCTGCACTTAAAAATATACCAGAGAATTTGGGAAAAGTTGAAAGTTTGGAGGAGTTTGATGTAAGTGGAACTTCAATAAGACAATTGCCAGGATCCGTTTTTCTTTTAAAGAATCTTAAAGTGTTATCTTTGGATGGATGCGAAGGAATAGCTGTGCTGCCTTCTTTGTCTAGTCTGTGTTCTTTAGAAGTACTGGGTTTACGCGCTTGCAATCTAGGAGAAGGGGAACTTCCTGAAGATATTGGCTACTTCTCTTCATTGAGGTCTTTAGATCTGAGCCAGAATAACTTCGTTAGCCTGCCTAAAGCCATAAATCAGCTTTCTGAACTGGAAATGCTTGTCTTGGAGGATTGCACGAGGCTTGCATCTTTGCCTGAGGTTCCATCTAAAGTTCAAACAGTAAATTTGAATGGTTGTATAAATCTAAAAACAATTCCAGATCCGATAAATTTAAGCAGTTCCAAAAGATCAGAGTTCCTTTGTCTTAACTGCTGGGAATTGTACAATCATAATGGCCAAGACAGCATGGGCTGGACCATGCTTCAAAGATACCTTCAGGTCTTCTCTTAATCAAACCCCAACCTTTTTCTTTCTCACTCTCCCTCTATCTATCTAACATTTTGGTTCTTTATTGTACAGGGTTTGTGGAATCCAAGACCTGGATTTGGTATCGCTGTTCCAGGAAATGAAATTCCAGGCTGGTTTAACCATCGAAGCAAGGGATCTTCAATTAGTGTGCAAGTGCCTAGTGGGAGCATGGGGTTTGTTGCGTGTGTTGCATTCAATGCAAATGATGAAAGTCCTTCTCTTTTTTGTCATTTCAATGCCAATGGAAGAGAGAATTATCCTTCGCCGATGTGTATTAATTTTAAAGGCCGTCTCTTTTCAGATCATATCTGGCTATTCTATCTATCTTTTGATTACCTTAAAGAGCTTCAAGAATGGCGGCAAGAATCCTTTAGCAACATTGAGTTGTCGTTTCATTCTTACGAGCAAGGAGTGAAGGTGAAGAATTGTGGTGTCTGTTTGTTATCTTCTCTATATATGAAACCACAAACATCTGCCCATTTTATTGTCACAAGCAAAGAAGCAGCTTCTTCATATAAAGATTCTTTAGCTTTTTCTTCGTCGTACCATGAATGGATGGCCTATGTCTTCCCTGTCACCAGTGTCGCAGACGCTACTGATGCTTTCACCTATGGATTCATTATGCCAGTCGAGAAGGAACCAGAGAAAGTAATGGCAATTAGATCAAGACTCTTTGAGGCCATTGAAGAATCAGGGATGTCAATTATTATATTTTCTAGAGATTGTGCTTCTTTACCTTGGTGCTTTGACGAACTTGTCAAGATTGTCGGATACATGGATGAGATGAGATCGGACACTGTGTTTCCAGTTTCTTATGATGTCGAACAATCAAAGATGGATGATCAAACAGAGAGTTATACAATTGTCTTCGATAAGAATGAAGAAAATCTCAGGGAAAACGAGGAGAAGGTACAAAGATGGACGAATATTCTCAGTGAAGTTGAGATTTCATCTGGATCAAAAAGGTAATAATTACTTATTCATCTGGATCGAAAAGATAATAATTACTTCGAAAAGTTGCTTTCAGAAGAACTGAATGTCAACAAATCTATGATCTTTCTAAATGGAGTGGGAAAACACCGTGCAAGTTCACAGTGTGGTTACAGTTTTTTTATTTTAAGGTAGATTTTGAATTTAAAAAACAAAATATTTTAAACAAACAAAATAATTGCATATATTCAACCTTCTAAAAAAAATATGCACATCACCATCAAATAACAATTTATATCCAAAAACTTGTAACCAAAATAGAATGCATGCGCTGGAGTCTTGGACAAATCATTATTAAATTTGATTAAGTTTAT